AAGTGTAATATGGCCGGAATTTACTAAAGCTTCTGGGGTGCTGCCTCCATTATCAGGCACCTTGATTATACAGGCTGATCCAATTATCTCAATTGTCACTGAATTCTATAATCGTATATTAGAATACGAAATTAAAATGGCAATGTTTTAAACCAATACAGATATATAAGCACTATCAGCTGTTTCTTTCAAACAAAATATGGCGTGTCCAACCAAACGCGTAATATTATCAAAGAAAAGTTTAATTTCATAGCCGGAAAACGTCGATATTTTAAAAGTTCCCTGCAAAACTGTATTTTTTTCACAAACCATCCTCGTGCTTTCCACCACAGAATTATGTTAAATGGCGTTCTCATTTACGCAAACACTACTCGGCAATATTCACCAAACACATCTCAAAACTTATCTTGACAAACATCAAAAGCACGCGAGATCTTGGCAAATGTGACGTTTTCTAACCCTGACAAGTTAAACTGAGGTTTGTTCTTCACACCTAATAAAAATCTGTAATGTCGTCACTTCAACCAGGAAAGCTGTGAACGAGCCAATTGACAGCTCCTGGTGACTTCATTCATACCCAGACAACAAGAACCTTGTTACGTAATTTGGCGACGAATATATTACGTCAGAGTATCTCAGCACCAGACTCTGGTTCGTAGTAACCGTTTCTTATCAACTAGCAGGCCCGAAAGTCATACGACCTGCAGAGCCACTGATGTTAAAAATAACCCTTCAATACCTGGTTTAATTTCTGGTAATGCAATTAGTACGCATCCCAACTCTTCAATACCTGGTTTAGTTTCTGGTAATGCAATTAGTACGCATCCTTCTAAGTGTTCATCAGGGATACGTGACCAAGTTTTAAACTAAACGTTCTTCAAAAAAAAGCTCTACCAATTTCAAACCCCGCCACGATGTATTCACCTTATTGACGTCATGAATCCTTTGAAGAACGAAGCTCATCTCAGTTCAGTTCTTACCTTAAAGAAAACACAATGTATCCATATTATTACGATGACTTGGTTAATTACAGTCCTAAACAATTTGCATGGATTCACCAACAGCGACCTACCATCATCAGACAGGCAGGCTTGAAATCTATTCGAGGTTCTCAAACGAATATGACTTTGTATTTATTCTACACTCGCCAACCCATCTTTGGACCTTCAATCACTTTTCTGTCGATTAATCGAAACTAAAATTGCAGTCCACGTCACGAAATTACGTTTCAAGGCTACGACAAAATCGGACAACGTTGAAAGAATATTCGCAGAGATCAGACCGATCTACCGGAAATTAACTTTCTGCACGCCTTGCCAATTCAATATTGAATTTATTCTGAATTTTGAAATAACAACACAGCGTGTTTTAAAATACATATACCCAGCAGGTAAAGCGGCAGGAGCCTGAAGGTAACCCAGTCACCTCCATACAGTGCCCAGGTAAAACTACGATTTCAGATTCTCGTGGTGGAGAATATCAAAATGGCTGTCTTCTGGGTTGCTAAATCTGTGTTAAGATTTACCTCCACTTTTCAACACATCTTCATGGTGAGAGAGGCGATTTTGGCTTTCATCCCGCGACTGTTATCTGGAATAACTTCGAGATGCAAAAGTACCTACGCTTTGTTGATACAGCGCATTACCGTTGTCTCGGAAATCATCGTGAAGCCTGATAACGCCAGACAGTACATAAGAAAATAAAGTAACCCCGTTTGATACCACAAGGAATGTTAACAAAATCATCAAACTGAATGCCTCTCTCTTTCAAAGTCCTCGACCAAAGGATCCATGTCCACGTAATTTTTAACGAGCTTGCATTTGAAGACAGCCCGAGCTTCGAAATGTTTCCCGAAGGGGGTGTTGGTTGCGTTTTAAAATATTGTGTAAGAAACTAAACTAACACCCCCCCCCCCCAA